GAAAGTTATCGTCAACCTGAAGAATACTACTGCGTAATCTTTTCGTAAAGTCAATAAGAGAACCCCGCATGAAGCTAGAACATGAAGGTATCTATATGGACACTTCAAAGTCTCACAAGGTTGCGTCCATGTTGGGACTGACCGACCAGATGTGGCGTTGGGAGGACAGATTTTTCACCGTGATTTCATCGTCAAGTGAGTGGAAAGAACAGACTTGAATGCAAGATGTCGAAAACACTCAAGCAATACCCACCTTGAATTGACTGTGTCGGGAGGTTGACAAGAGGTCATCATGACTTACTGGTTGTGGTCTCTTAATTGAATACACACGTTAAGCGAATGACTATGGGGTAACGGCATTGGAATCCTTGCAGAGGTCTTATCAGCTTATCGCTCATGGCCTGTGCTTCGAGGTCATGTGCCCGGAGGCGTGACCAAAGTTTCTCCCGCTAGCCGAATCGCGAATGGATTCAGCCGAAAGATTCCTGCCAGCGACCTCACCCGAGCTGTCTCCAGCAACACATCCCCATTGCCAGCTCAGCCCATCATGAACTCCCTCCGCATCGCGCGTGCGGCTCTCCGAGCTCGCCCTGCTGCCATCCGCGCTCCCCTCCAGCGCCGAACCTATGCGGACGCCGTCCCCGACAAGGCAAGCACCGGTGCAGCCTCCGAACCGACCCCGAGCGCCCGCTGACAATTTGCAGATCAAGCTGAGCTTGTCCCTCCCTCACCAGGTACGACCCCGATGTTCTCCGAGATGAATTGAGCCGCGGCCGAGTCGACGACAAACGATTGCATGCTGCATGCGCCGGAGGAAGCCAATTGAAGGGTTCGGAGCTAATTGCCGCAATCGCAGTCCATCTACAGCTCCAAGGATGTCGTCCAGGTCAACATCCCCGCCGACTCTGGTGAGATGGGTGTTCTCGCCAACCACGTTCCCTCCATCGAGCAGCTGAAGCCCGGTCTGGTCGAGGTCGTTGAGGAGAGCGGTCCCAGCAAGCAGTTCTTCCGTACGTGCACCAATCGCAAAGCCAGGCTTGCAAGGGATATCGAATTGAAGGAACTGACGGCTATGTAGTCTCCGGTGGATTCGCCGTTGTCCAGCCCAACTCCGTCCTCAGCATCAACGCCACTGAGGGCTACCCCATTGAGGACTTCAGCGCTGAGGCTGTCAAGTCCCAGATCGCCGAGGCCCAGAAGGTTGCCAACGGCAGCGGCAGCGAGCAGGACATTGCTGAGGCCAAGATCGAGTTGGAGGTGAGTAGCTGCCGGATGGCTTTGCAGGCCACACGCTGATTGATCCCGCAGGTCCTCGAGAGCCTCCAGGCTGCCCTGAAATAGAGAGTGTAAAAGAGGTCGTCGGACAAATGACGTTGTACATCAAAGACTCGGATTCCCTAACTCATCTAACATCGCATAATTGAATCCACGTGCGACGTTCCTGAGCACCTGCTTGTAGTTCGAACCTGTGCGTGCCGTGCTTTCTGCGTTTGCGCCATGCCTGGACGGTCCTTCCGGCTTGTCCTGGGCCCAGGGGTCGAGCCTGCCTAGGGATATGTCACCGATGCCCCTCACTCTTGCCCCAGGTATGCGGGCTTCTGCACCAGCTCCAACCTCCATAGATATCCTCCCTGACCTCCTACGAGGCAAACCTCTCTCCTAACTAATGTTCCGTATCTTTCATCCCGGTGCATCGTTTGTCAACCCCCAACGATCCATCCGGTCTAGTACTGTTTTACACTTATCCCAGCATCATACAGCCATACACAATCACTTGCCACTGTCTTCAGGCATGGATTATCCTTTCGTTGCCAACTATCGAGCGCCTCGATCCGACGTCACCATCTACCAGTCTGATGGAGAAGGAGACGACATCCCACAGGGACTTGTTTCGCAGAGACGACTGAAGTTTGCGAAGCCGACTCCCCCTCGCTTTGCGAAGCGGAGGCCAACAACACCCGGCAATATAGAACACGACGCTACTCGGTTTGGTTAGGGTCATCGAGCCGACAAGATCTTTGCCGTACCAGCGACCCGCAACACAATGGTCGAGGAGTCCAAGGCTGCACCTCAAGATCATTCGTTCCCTGGCTAGGGCCCTGAGGGCGAGGGCTGGGGCCGGCCCAGGATCTTCAGAACACCATTGTTACGCCCGCAGCAGTCAGCCTACCTGACACCTCTCAGGAACAAGGACCTGGATCCAACGCAGCTGCGTCAGACAGCATCGACTGGACGCCTCCGGTCAAAAACCCGGGGCCAGCAGGACCAACTTGCCGAGGATGTTGCCTCTCTGCAGTCACCAAGCCTGAAGCCGCGTCGTCTCTTCTCGATCAACTCTGCGTCTTCGTATCATTCCCAGGAATCCGAGCTGACCACCTCCACAATCCGCCTGCGTCACGCTCGTGATATCTTTGAGGAGTTTGGAATCTCACGACCTTCCGGCTGGCTTTCTGACGACGACGACGAGGATTTCTCACGCCATCAGGATGGTACCAACAGCACTCCCAGGCATGTCGGCAACATCTGTCACTCGTGCGGAGCGGAAGTAACGACCCGAACGTTCTGTGCCACATGTGGCCATTCGGTCTGCCCCCAGTGTTCCAGCGAAATCCCTGATGACGAGGATGATCATCGACGCACGGAGAGCTCGGGGCATACAGTCATAACCTCCCAGCAGCACACTTTCAATGTGACTGAAGAGGAATTTCGGTCTTCGCATCAGGACACCACTCATTCGTCCAAAACAGTGCAAAATGCTACAGTCGCTTCGCAAGCATTGAAAGACAACCCCTTCATTGTTGCGGACAAGATGACAAAGGTCGTCACTGCCGAGCCCCGACTCACTGATGCCACTGCTCGCGGAGAGCATCAGTCTAGATTCTCCGACTGTGTTCCGCAGCAAAATGACCTCTCCACGACTGCTGGAACTCATGGAGACTGCGGCAATCCTAAATGCAACGCCGTACATGCTGGCCACCATAGCAAGCGTCACAGCATTGCATGCATTGTGGGCCAACAGGCAACGACAGATGCTACTGACGAGCTTCAGTCTCATGCTCCGCTGGATGATCCTGTCCAGCGCAAGATTGACAATATGTACCATCATGCTGACGATCTGAAGCGAACACAGCATATCATGGAGCATCTCGCTGCAGGATCCGCTGCGCCAGAGCAGCACAGCTCTAGCCAAGTCACGGACAGGACGAGGACATCCAGTGTAGTGGACGTCGACAGACTTCTGGCCAAACCCGGTATCAACACGGTCAACCGCGGCAGGCTAATCAGTTTCGACACAGCGGTTGCCACAGAAAAGAAGGGCAACCAGGCTCTCGAGCTTCGCGAGTGGGAGAGGTCTCAGTCGTTTAACGTCGACCCGATCAAGAGAAGAGCCTCGGATACCCCGCCAAGTCCGGATACTCGACTATCCAATCCTCCAGAATGGCTGAGTCCAAATCGAGGATCAATACCGAGCCAAAGAGTCGTGACAGAGACCAAGAGCACACCCCAAATGAGGTCTTCGATTGATCAGGTTGGCGCCACAACCGAGTCAACAGTCGAGTGGCCGAAGCTGAAGCGAGTGACGAAGGTGACAAAGGAGACCGTGGAGGAAAAGCCCAAGACGACGCTGCCGTGGATGCAAAGGCCCTTGCGCCGAGTCCAGAAAGAGGAAAACATATCCCAGCAAGCTCAAACACAACAGTCGACGGAAGTCGAGAATTGGAGATCTCAGCTTCGAAAGGTCGAGGACTCGCACCATGGCGGCCGACAGCGAGCTGAGACTTGCAGCTCGTGTCACGATGAAACAAGCTTACCGTCGCGTTCCTCTGTTGGCGAGGTTGTCGACGTTGCTATTCACACAACAAAAGAAGAGAATCAGTCTCCGGCGCCTCTGAGGTCGAAACGTGTTGAGGAGGTTCAAGCCTCGACCTCCCACAAGTCAAGTTCCAGAACGTCAACAACAGTCGAGTCAGAGACCAGCACTCAGGTCTCACACACAGTCAACGAAACCCACTCCGCCTCGGGTTCCCACGTTGTCGAAGAAAACAACGAGGCGAGCGTTACCCACGGCTTCGAACATCGCGGACAGTCGAACGAGATTGAGGTTCTCAGCCCAGCACCTGTGATTTCATCTGAACACACTTGCACCTGGAAGGAGCACTACTTGAGACTGACGTCAGAAGTGCGGCAGTTGAAGGCTGAGATTATGTCCAGAGAAAGGCTTGGATCGTCTGGCGTGGACGTGGGGGTGAACGTCGGGCAGGGTGACGATGAGCTGGGCGTCGAGGGTCTTACCATTGTTATGCATCTGAAGGGGAAGGATGATCTGGTCATCAATACAGACTTGACCAGGGCTTCTTCTGACGTTTGAAGACCGGTGAGGTGGATGAATACTGCCGAGTTGCATAGAGAATGTGTATGGCACCAGGAGCAGGATTACGGGATTATGATAGCAGCATGAATTACAGAATGCATGAGTTGAAGCAAGCGCCTAATTTCCCGTGCTGGAGTGACCACTTTTTCTGTGCGTTCATGTACACGGATATTCCTGTCGTTAGTGGCGTCGTCGTCGTCGGTGTCTTGGGAAGGTATCAGCTGTTGTACCGCACTATGAAGTCCCACATGGCTGCAAGTCACAGGCAGCGCAAGCATTCATATTCAAGTGAAGAAAATAATTCAAATGTCATCATAACAAAATGCTGCCTGCACGCCGGGTTCATCTACATATCATGCCGAATAATCTAGTCTTCTCAACTCGCCTGGCCTGATGGAGGGCCCCAACATGGCAGGTGAGAAATGCAAGTGCCTTCGGTCTATAGGGTATCAAAGAATGCCCCCCAAGTCTACCCTACCCATAACCAACCACCATTTGCTGACCAAGCCCTGGCGGGCGAAAACGGTCTGATCAGTGCCCTCGGGGAACATGATGCACCCTCTGGGGGACGCATCTTCTGGAGAAGCGCGGCGTCTTCTCCAGATACGTTTGTCTGTGTTGGAGCGGCTCACAATGCCGAGACGGTATCCGTGGCGTCGGCGCCGGTTGCCTTTGCGGACGCAACGTCACCGGCGATGGCCACCTTCATGGGCCTGCCCTGAGCCTTCTCCGAGAGGCTAATGTACTCCTGCGTCATCAGCTCCTGGGTCTTGCGGGTGAGCTCGTCGACGTCCGCGGAGGTCAGGCCGGTGGTGGAGATCGGGTCCAGGACTGCGGGGAGGATCGAGTCAGCATACGCCACTTTATATGTTTGAGGTGGTCTTTGGACGACCAGATGACTTACCCTTGACAGGGATCTTTCCAGAGTTGAAGACGAGGCCCTTGAGCCAGAGAACGTGGCTATAGTTCGCAGCAACGACGGGGACGATGGGCACGCCGGCCTGAACAGCCAGATGGAACGCGCCCTTCTTGAAGGGCAGCAGGACGGGATCCTTTGCGTAGCTTCGGGTGCCCTCCGGGAACATGTATACGCTCTGCTTCCTCTTGCGGATCTCGTCGGCCGCGCCAGACATGGCTTCCCTCGCGTCCTTTGTGTTCTTGCGGTCGATGAAGATGGAGCCACTGAGGGTCATGAACCAGCCCAGGATGGGAGTCTTCTTGAGGGAGGCCTTGGCGGTGACGCTGCAGTACTTAGGGAACATGGCGCCCAGCATGAGAACATCGAGCTCGGTCTGGTGGTTGCCGACGAAGACGGCAGGCCGCGTGTTGCCGAGAATGTCCTTAGGGTCGTCGAGCTCGAAGGTCACTCCGGTGGTGAGGGCCATGAGGTAGTGGAAGGCTCTGGCGGTGGTCCATTGCGCGATGCCCGGGTTGCCAACGATGCGCAGGAAGATGGAGGCGAAGACGCCGTAGAGCGCCGCTACGACGAGGGAGATGTAGGAAGCGAGGACGCGGGCGCCGAAGGCGGCCTTGGGAACGACGAAGGACAGCATGTAGAGGGCGACGACGAGGGCGGCATAACCCTTCAAGAAGGAGAAGATGTAGCCCAGGAGAGCCGACATGGCTGCTGGCGGGAGCTGGGATTCTTCTTGGGAGGCTTGGTAGGTGCGGGCGGCGGGAAACGGGCGGCTGCTGGCGTAAAAAGAGACAGGCGCGCGGAAGAGGGCAGGCCTGGGAAAGTGTGAAAGTCGGGATGGCGGGGCGTTAAGCTTCTTTGGGCGCGCGTCTCATGGGGTTGAGATGGTTGAGGAGCTTTCGAGCGCGGGGTTGAGGCCGAGGAACGAAGGATCGTCACAAGGGCGGGAACTCGGGGGAGAGTTGAAGGTAGGAGACAGCACGTGTCAGGTAGAGCAAGAGAGAGAGAGTAGAGGTGAGGAAGAGGCACTGAAGGCTACAGCTTCCACAGACACATGTTACGAGGACACACACAATGTGGTTGTATGGAGGAGTGCGGATGTCTCAAGGGGTGGGAGGAGGTTAAAGGAGGACTCATACAATGACGATGTAAGGGAACGAACGGGGATACGTTGGTGGGAATGCGGCGCCGGTGCAAGATGCGGTACAGATACAGGCGAAGAGAGTGGAAACCAAAGCCAAGTGGCGGATGCACACCGCAAGCTCTTCCATTGGAGAGAAGGACCTCATGGGCCGTGGCCCTGGTTGACGGTCATGGGTGCTGGGGGTCGCACTCGCAGGGTCGAGGTCAGAAAGTGAACACGCAGTGGGGTTCTCTGGCTGCTTCTTTTCCCAAGAGATTATTTTTTTGGTGGGATGACTTTAACTCCCCTGGGGAGGCGCCCCTCCAGTCGTTGAGGAGGTGTCTGTGATTGGCCAAGATCCCGCCCCCACAATAACGGCGGGGTCTGCGGTGACGGGTACGTACCTACCTGGTGTACCATCTGAAGCCTGTTCATCATTTGGAGGTCAGCACTGAGCAGTCGTCATGCTGCTGCTGCTGCTGCTTCCCGCGAATATGCATGACTGACAGTCTTTACTGTGGCTAGGCGAGTGCAGTTGTCGTTGGGGAAAGGACGGGATGAAAAGGGAACACTAGTTTCCATATTCATAGCTCATCCACCTCAAGACCGTTGCTGCCGCCGCCCTTTGCTCAGCTGAGGGAGAGCGCGCTAGACCTTGACTTGCTGCCGGCAAGCCACTAGCACAAGTCATCGTCCGGTCTAGGTGCGGATCGCAAGTCAGAAGACGGACGAGCGGACAAACTGATAGCAAGAGAGGGGCGGGTAGGCGCGGACTGACATCAGATCTTTGGACAGTGGGTTCTGTGGCAGTTGAGTTCCGGAGGCGAGGCTGGAAAGGGTTGGGGAAGGGGAGAGACCGGACGGCACGGAACTGAGAGAGTGCAATCAAGGTCCCGCCAGCTCCCCGATGCCATTGTGTCGTACACTAGGACACAAGATGGTGGGGCATGACTTTCCCGTGTCTCCTTCGTCGGTGCCTCCTTGCGAAAAGCATGTGGCAGGCCCAGCCAGCTTGTTAGTGCCATGTCTCGGAGCCGTGCTCGATGATGGCCGGGGTGCTCGCCTGCCCCACGAAAGATGCAGCTCTATTCCACAGTCTCAACCTCGCCTTTTATTTCAATTCTGATGGCATCTGCAAACCTCATTGACACATGTAAAACTGCCAGGGTACTCTCGCAGGTGCGTTACGTTATCATATCACGAGCCCAATTGCGGCACCTAGGAACCCACAAGGTGCTATCGATATCCGACGCCTTATCGATAGTGATGACTAAGACATCCCGGCGCGTCCTGCCTGGGGTAAGTACTCGGCGCCGGTAACTGTCGCCCGACGACGAGGAGCTTCAACATCGATCGCACGACAGTCGTGAAGTGCATCGCGAATCCTGCAGTGGCCCCGTTCGAAATCCACCATTTTGCCATACATCAAGACTACACCTACCGAGAGCGAAAGGATAAGTCCACCTTCAGCGCCTATCGATTGGCGCATCCTTTAACTACCGTATAATGAGCTCGACCCGATAAGACATCGACGATGCCCTCCCGCCGAGTACAACCGGACCTCTCCGTTCGCCTGCCGACAGGCCCCGCGCAACCCGAACTTCCTCCTATTTCCGCGCTGTTTCTCATCGACTTTGACGTCAAAGCTGGATACACAATCGTGTGGAAACAAGCGGCTCCCGGGATCGAGCTTGAAGGACTGGTTGAATACAAGAGCTTGCCTTCGGGTCTACACACTGTCCCTGACGACCTGATCTACTTCGTTCACGAGGGCGCTCATGCCGGCCTCAGCGCATTTATCAACACGCCATGCGACGAGGAGGAGGCGCGTCATGCGCGCATGATTGCCGTGGGAGTCTTGGTACCTCTGAGTTATGGTCGGCTTGGCCGGGCGTGGAGACATGCCGAGGGCCTGAAGGACATTGCAGCGTGAGTGCGCATCTACGCTATGCATGGCTCATCTTGCTAAATTTCAACAGAAAACTCGCCGAGGATCGCAAGAATACGGCAATACTCGATGAATACTGGAAGAACAACCGGGATAAGGAGGACGCCGATCAGGAACGCCCCCCAATGGAGTCGCCTTCTGTCAGCTTCAGTGCCCAAGCTACCCAGCCGAAGAAGACGAGCCACAACAGGAACCGCTCCGCTTCCGATGGTGCTGCTCTTGTGCATCCCGGCCATCGGCTGTCCCCGTACCATCCGGCCTGGAGTTTGACAGACTTGCTGGACACTTTTGGTCCCCTCATCTTCCCCATACATCGGGCAGCTTTGCTTCGGAAGCGCATCTTGATATCCTGTCACGCACCAGTGCGTGAAATCTGCAACTTTGGTAGGTTCAGGTTGGATTCCCGAAACTTGACGTAGCTCACACAATTCCAGTGTACAACATTTCGGTTCTCTCAAACATCCCCCAGACGGTCGCGGAGCTATTAGCACCATCATCCTCGTCTCAACGTCTGAGGCCCCTCTTCACCATCGGCGTGCATGACATTCCCTTCCTCGTGGAAGACTTTGAAGCTTCAAAACGAAAGAAGGCTGACAGCAATGACGCCGTGCCAGACGAGGCCGGGAGCGGTTGGATTGCTTGCACTACTGACAGCATTCTGGCCATGAAGGATACTCTCTGGGACATGCTCATCACCATGCCTCCCCCGTACTCACCTAATGCGAAGGACAAGGTCTGGCCGACGGTCGAGTGCCCTCGTGGTGTACCCGTCAAGGCAACACAGCGAGACCTGCGGCGATTCCGTGCTCTGAAGAGTGGCCTTACCCGGCTCACGGCCACAACACCTAGACCAAGGACGGCTGAGAGCCCACGCTCTGAAAACTCAACCAGCTTCAAGCTCACCACTGGTGCTTTTCCTGCGTCGAATCTCGAGTCTGACGAAGCCCTGGACAAGATTGTGGAGCCATTGAGTTGGTCTGCGCTGGCATACAATGGCTTCATGTGGTGGGCCAGTGCTGGAGAACAGGCGCGGAGCGAGGAACAGGAGGAATCTGCCCGTGATGCCGCCCTGCTAGCAGATCTCGGCCTGATGCCTCACACCCCGAGCATGACGATGCCCACCCCGAAACAGCGAACAGCATCCGGTGGCATGAGGGATTCGATCGGATCCGTGGCATCACGGCAGTCTGTCGGGCCGGATGACGACGAGGCCCGAACCGAGCTCGCCGTCATCGCATATTTCCACCGCCTCACAGCGCAGATGCTGTCCGTTATGGCGGACGTCGTAGAGAGCTCGGATGACCGCTACGAAGACGATGACGATGATGAGCAAGAGGCCGAGGACACGCCTCTTCGATCAGACAGCGAGGCGGACCTGCGCTCGGTCCGCGTGGAAAGCCATGCTATCGAGAGCATGGGTCTCGATGTCTGGAATGCACACGATGCCGAGTTTGTCAAAGAGCTCATGGCGAAGTACTTTGACCGCAAGCCTTACATCGAGGGCAAGGGTGTTGAGGTGTGCGGAGTGCGCGTTTGCTAAGCGATGCTCATTCGTGGCGGTGGTTGTTTAGTCTCAAGAGGTGGATATTCGGAGCAATGACAAAACTTGTTGAGTCTGGGGAGTGTATACTTGAACATGTGGGGCTACGCTGTGCTTCTTTGACGCGCTCAATCATCGTGGCATATTTGTTTGTTTTTAAGGGCTGTTTCGGCGTTGGGCTGCTTTATTTTTCAAGAACAAGCGTGAGGATATTGCGGTAAAGAAGATGGGCCATGCAAGCCTAGGAGAAAAACTTGAGGGATTGCTAATGTACTAAAGAGTCACACGCAAAGTCGGTTCTCATACAGTCTGCGCTTGTCATGTTGCATCACCAATGTGCTGTTCATACATTTATATCAATCAACGAATGCTCTGCACCAAGACATTTGCTCATAGCATGAAATGGCAAATTGCCAATCCTGCGTTGCCTTCCATCGCATGTCTCCTGTGTCGTTGTCGAACCGACCAGGGGCTATGGAGTGACTGATAGGGCTGACCTGGATCACCCAGGTAAGGGGCGCACAGGTTGAAATGATGGTCAAAAAGGAGGGGTGAGGGTCAGTTGCAGAACACCAGGCGGTGACGATATGCTGTAGACACAGTAGCGCCCTGATAGCTGACGGGCTAGTTTCTGTGTGTTTGTTTATGTGGACTGTGGAAAGGTCCAGAAGCTATGGAGTGTTTGTGCTGCCTCTCGTCGGTGTTTTGTCTGCCGTGCCGGAAGGAAAAGATAATTTGGGCTTGGCCGGAGACTTGGCCGACAATTGGCCGGGAAATGGACGGGGGTCCAGATTGCCAGGAACCCCGCCCTTCCCCTCCATGGCAGCCACCCGCCAACACATCTGCTGGCGTTGTCCACCGTTGGGCACGGCAAGGCCCTGTACCTAACTTGACCCCTCCTGCCAAATTGGCTCTCGGGCTTCCATTCACCTCAGGGTAGGAGGTACCTTGCTTCCATTAGGTACATTACCCAGGTAGGCGAGGCATCGTACAGAGAATGACACCACCTGGCAGGAACGTGGAAAGTGAGGTGGCCTCAGGGAGGAGCACGAATGCTCTGCAGACTGGAAGCTGGAGCTGTCCGTAGCCATATCC